ATATATATATTATATATATATATATATATATATATATATATATATATATATATATATATATATATATATATATATATATATATATATATATATATATATATTTATAATGCATTAGATTATGAAAGAATACTCATAATAATTATGAGTTGAGTGCTCCCTGATAATAAAATGTTATTTTAATGAGCTTTCAACTACCTAACTGTAGTGTTTAACCCAATATATTAAGTTGCATTATGCCCAAATGCACCCAGTGTATTATTTTACTCTGTCTAATGCCAGACAATTTTACTCATCACAGAGAGAACACTGGTGCTCAATGGGTTAAATACACTAATATATCCTAGATAATCCAACTCGTTGTCACATTTGCCTTACTTCTACTGATTCATACCAACCATAGACTGTATACATTTGTAGGAAATGTTCTTTCCGCAATCTATTAATAGTAGGAACAGCCAGTCCAACGATATAAAATCCTTTCTTACTGTTCAGTTGTAAATTAGAGTACATATATTTTGTAGTAAATTTTATGTAGACATATAATGATTTGTAACTCTGTAAATTGATGTAAATTTGTTAATTCATAAATTATGATATACATTATGTATACCTGAGTTTTTAACGTTTCCTCTTTAAAATATTTGAGCATGTATCCTTTGGATTATTAAAAGTAACATACAATACGTCAATACGTCTTGAAAATGTTTTGCTAAGTCAAATATTCTGTACGAAAATACGAAATCACAAACAACAGCTCGCGAACGCCATATTTTTTTAGAGCGTGGTGTCCACGCGTCACGCGTGAGCGTGGGATACTATTATATCCCACGGTGGATCTGCCGTGGGATATTATAGTATCCCACCCTGGATTGCGAAATCATGAATTTGAGTGAAATACCGTAAAAAATTACATTATCACGTGGTACAAATGCTGTTTTTTCATTGGACAATTTGAATTTGAGGTATAATATTATATAGCACATTCATGTCAGGGCCTAATTTAGGACTTATCATTTATTGTAAAATTTATAAAAAAGTCCAAAAAAATGTTACTATGAAATGCAGAGGAAAGCCGAAAGGTTTAGATTAAAAATTAACTTTTAAATTTAGGCATTTTGTCTACCAGTCATTCAAGTTGTGTATGAAACAATACAAGATGCGCTGTCTGGAAAAAAATCAGCGAAAGTTTTAATACAAGATGAAGGTAAACTTTGACGTGTGATACTTAATTCATTGTAGTAACAGTGCTATAGTTTCTCAGGGCTTTCGACATTGTTCTGAGTAGGTTGGTGTGTTGATAAATGACTCATAAATTACAGTAGATGCCTGTGGTCTTGTGGGTAGCAGTCTAGATAAATATATAGATAAATAGTTTGTTGGACATCATCTTGCAGTGTCTGTCAATTTGCTCAGCAATTCTACAGGGTGTATAAAAAAAAACGCAACCTCGGAATTTCCCAAGAAATCGACATTCATGTTTCGCTCGCTACTCTGGTTTAAATAAGCGAGCGAAACATGATTGATATACTATGGTTGCAGTGAACGAACAAACTTTAAATCGACATTGTTTTAAAGACATAAGATTTTAGGCGCCTGGGAATTTAAAATAGCACAACTGTCAAAATTACTGCACACGCGAGTGCATAAAGCAAAATTTATGCATTTATTTAATGCACAACAACAGTAATATGATCTATTAGCAATTCGATTTCAATTCCCAGGGGCCTAAAATCTTTTATGCTTAAGAATTGCAAAGTGATTTTTTAGGAAATTCCGAGGTTGCGTTTTTTTTTATACACCCTGTAGAGTGAACCAAGTGAAATTTAAGTTTTATTTCATATTCTAATCTCTATTTTAGAAAAGTCATGGAAAATGAATGTATATGATAGAGATTCAGCTTTTGGTTAGTGTAACATTCGAACCCTTTAGTAGGGTTGGGCGATATTTTGATTTATCGCGATATTTTCATTCGCGATTATCGTATCTAAGGTAGAAACTTGAGCGACGATATATCGAAATTATCGTCGTGCTCGTTGACAATCGTGATATTGTTTCGCATGTGTACATAGCTTTTGTAAAAATCCTAAAAAAATCCTTCAAATCCTAGAAAATATAGTTTTTAAAAGAATTAAAACTATTTTCTGAATTAAATACAAATTTAATACGATATATTGGTTAAGCCTAATTGGCGTTACCATGGATAATAAAATAAATGGATAGGAAACTCGCTGACGTGACCTAATGTTTTCAATGGGCTGATGGCGTGATTGGATGTTGAAACCTAGTTGCAAACCAAATTCTCAAAAACGGCATGTTTAGCAATAATACAGCTAAACATTTTAGTCAAAGAGCAAATGAATATAACTACGCCATTCTACGATGAAATCTCTAAGTATTCCCAGTCAATTTTAGCAAATATTTCAAGCACTAAACAGAGAAAAAGGCATCCCAAATTTCGTTAAAATTGGGGATGCCAATTTCGTAGCTACAAATGTAAAAAAATACAAAACAAAGACGAAAAACATTTACCTTGAATACTTTGTCATGGCTTGGGCATGTTTTTAAAACAATTAGACCGGTTTATGCTTCATTATTGCTCTTTTAAGGCGGAAAATATAGCGAAACAACAAAAATGCAGAGAACTTTGCAATACGCGTGACGTCACAGATTGCAACTAGGTTGTTTTTGCTTACGTCAGCGAGAGTCCTATCCATTTATTTTATTATCCATGGTGTTACGGTCGCCAATATACCATTCTAACTTTTATACATCGTAATTATCCCTACTTATCACTGGTAATCGAGTACTCTTTGGTGAACTAGTAATTAATCCATAGATATCTTATATACACTAGATAGCGCATCTCTATTAGTAAAATTGAAGCCAAGAATATTCCAGCGGTTACCCCCATTTGAATAGATGGCGGCCATGTTGGTCGTTCCCACTTGCTAATAAACGCTTAAAAACAACAATAACTTTCATTATTTGAATAGTTTAAGAACGTATTTGGAATAGGGTTAACTTAATGTTTAAGTCCCTATTTAAGAAATAGAAAACAAACGAATATTCTCATTTCATGGGAACGACCTGAGACTGCAATCACGGCTTCAATTTTTGAATTGCAGAATAATTAGATGCGCTATCTAGTGTATATAAGATATCTATGAATTAATCCTTGGTAATCTATATAGTAATCCTTGGTAATCTAGTAATCATTGGTAAGTTAGTATAAGCCTTGGTAAGTTAGTAACCCGCTGAACAATGAAATTGCAGGCTTTGCTTGCACTGTGTGCCCACGGCATTTATGCCTGCGGAGTGATAGTAGACACTGCATAGACAGTTCTGGTTTATGAACAGTAAATATTAGACTAGAAAAAGCCTTTATTTTACTTTAATTTGTTGTCTCATTTGTTTATAATAAGATTATATAAGCTTACTATATATGCTTTGATATTAATTATTAATTCTTAATTGAGTCGGTTTTCTTTCATGTACCGAGGTGATTATTTTTAATAATAACCTTGAATATGAATTAGCTAAAAAGATGAAGGAAAACTCAGAAAATCGTCGTTCAAAGCAGACGAAACAGACAAAACTTTGTTGGAAAACCTCCTCAATTAAGAATTAAATAAGATAAACACCGAGAATGTCGGGACTTATGTCAGATAATGCCCTCGGACGCTGCGCGTCCTCGGGTCATTATCTGACATAAGTCCCTCCTTCTCGGTGTTTATCCTATACAAATTGAAAAATGGTCATTGTTTTTATTGCATTTATCGCGATATTATCGAATATCGTGATAATTTCCTCGACAATAATCGTGAGATGATTTTTTTAATATCGCCCAACTCTATTATACCCTTTAGAAACATTCACGTGATGTAAAACAACGTTTCCTTGAACAAATTTGAGCATATTTTCAAATGTTTTAGCGATAAGTGAAGATGGTCTGTTATGTCAAAGTCGAGAACAGTTCGATTGGCAAGGCTGTAGATCTCTCTTGGCTGTCACGAAAGGTAATAATTATATAGGTTGTATATATATTTATAGCATTTGTTAATTCTGAACGCTGATTGGCTAAGAGCCGTGTTGATATAACTCAATGTCAACACGGAAACGTCGGAAAATTTATTTCTTTATATTTCTTTGTGCTATATTATAAAACAAATATAAAACATTTTTTCCGTATTGATATATATAGGTTATCATATAAGGGATGAGGTGATATCAGTTTTATCGCTCGAGGGATGATATCACAATTGTCACGAGCGAGCGCAGCGAGCGAGGGACAATTGTGATATCGTCCCAAGAGCGATAAAACTGATATCATCGAATCCCGAGTACGATAACGTATTTATTATATACTTGTACCTTTATCAGGGTTTGACACCCAAAAATAAACAGTTTTGAAAAAAAGGATCATTTTAGAATTCAAAAAAATTCATCATTTACTGAACAAATATGATTTTAGAAAATAAATAGACCATTCATATAAATAATATACAATTTAAGTCTTTCGTTTTGTATTATCGTTCTTGTTTCCTTCGATAAAACTGTCGACATCAACCAACACGAACCCATTGAGCACGAACCTCGAGTCGGCCATGTTTGTTTTGACAAGGCGCGAAATTTAGCGGGACAAAAAACGATATCCGGGACAAAAAACGATATCCGGGACGATATCGTTTTTATGTCCCGCTGCTTCCTACCTGATAAAGGTACAAGTATGTGATAAACAGTTATATCAACACTCGTGGAAATTGGGAAAACTCTAAATTGATGTCAAAAAAACTCGTCGTTGTCCTGTTTCCGCACAATTTTTCGATTTCCCAATTTCCACGAGTGTTGATATAACTGTAATATCAACACGGAAAATGTTTTATATTTGTTGAATATAACACGCAATAACGTGCTTTCGCTTATATAGATAATTGATAGTCGAAAAATATAATTTAATGGTGTTGTTTAAAATTTCATCCCTAAGGTAAATTTTATTACGAAACAACAGTGACAGATGAAGGATTATGTCGTGTTGGTTGGTCAACTAGAGACGCTACTTTCAATTTAGGTATCACAGTAGATTTTTTTGTCTAGCTCATTAATGGACCATTCCCCAAATGTTGAACTCAACAAGTCTACACCAAAATTTCATCACAGCTTGAAAGAGCATCACAAAATTAGTAGTAATTCAAAGTTTCGTTGCAAAATGTTGTAAAATGCGGATAATATAGCCTTGCGAAGTTTGCAATTTTCAGTCATTTTAGAGTACAAACGGGAAATGGTTACCACTACTGTGCGTAATACAAACTGAAAATTGCAAAGGCTATATTATCCGCATTTTATAACATTTTGCAACGAAACTTTGGAATATTACTATATTTGTGATGCTCTTTCAAGCTGTGATATAATTTTTGTTTAGGCTAGTTAAGATCCAAATTTTGGAAAAGTGGTAACCATTTCCTGTTTGTAATCTAAAATGACTGAAAATTGCAAATTCCGCAAGGCTATATTATCCGCATTTTACAACATTTCCCAATGAAACTTTGGAATATTACTAATTTTGTGATGCTCTTTCATGCTATGATGGAATTTTGTCTACACTTGTTGAGATCAAAATTTTGGTTAATTGGGGAATGGTCCATTAAGTTGCATTTAGTGCGACCCACTTTATTATTTAATACCATCTTATTTAATCAAGGGGAGAGCGCTGGCGCTCAATGGGTTAGCAACCTTTGCACAAAAAAGACAGACATTCTTCGCTTTTCACCATCACTTCCTGAATAGAAGGTCGTTGGTTGCACAGTGGTTATTAATGCATGTTCAGGGTGTCCTAAAAATACAAAACTATTGAAATAACGTATTGTTAGAATTTGAATGCCCTAGCACTATTAGCCGCGTAAAATATTGAAAGGGTGCATATATTAAATATTGACTTATAGTATTAAGAAATTAAAATATCTTTGTAAAGCGCACGATTTTCTGCTTTTGAGAATATAAAGCAGCTTCTTAAACAGTTTCATTAGGCATAAAATTTACTTATGTCAAGCTTTAGTGCACTTGTGGGTATACGTTTGTGTGATAATAATCCCGCCTTAATTGCAAACACCGCAAATTATATATCCCCATTTTCTCACAGTAGAAAATTGATGGCCCCTATATGGGACCTTTGTAGGCCCCTGAATTGTTGGCTCACTGCGACCTTTCGTTAATCGAGTCATGAAAACTTGTTTCCGACTTAAGTGAAGTCCATAATCCATCATTTAAAAATACATATAGAGCGTGTCGTAAACAAATTTCTTAAGTTACATCACCCAGGCTCTTCCCATACTCTGCTGTAACAAAACTGCAATAACAATTTGTGTCATTTGAATATGTTCAGGGACAGATAAATTTGGATTCGGTTTCGGGGGAACAGGAAAGTGTTCATTCGGGCGACAGTTTGATACTTATGGCGAGGTATTGCTTGCATCTTAATTTACGTCATAGCGCAGGGTGCGATACACCAATATTAGAGACCTTAGGATTGACGTTAGAGACCTTAAGATTGACGTTTACGGCAAACGTCAAACCGCTAGCGAAGTTTTTCATTTTACAACTCTATTATAATAGCTTTTACACCAGTTTTGAAATATGTTAAACTTATTAAACTTGTGCTCTTTAGCAATGATTTAAGAAAG